GCTTTTTCAGAATTTCCTCAAATTCTTTGTTTACATCAGAAATTGTTGCGTAAGGAAAGCAGTATGTCATTGTAGATCTGCTCCTGAAATTCTTGATTATTGAATCTCCTACGACTAGTGTTCTTATCTCAGGTGTGATCGGAGCAGAATGCCGCTGTCTAGTCAGCCTTGAGCCTCTGTTCCATGCAGAATTAGTTGCTGAATCATGCGATCTCTGTCTTGACTGCATTTGGGGATTCTTCACCCATATTACTCAAAACTTCATATCTGTTCTGAAGCTGTATTTGAGTCCGAGCTGTATTTGGGGTAGAAGACACTAATGTGGCAGCGTATGATCTGACCCCGCGAGTACCCTTTGGTCTCGCACCTTGTTTATGCCAATGCTCATTTTCAACAGTTTTATTCTGTTTTTCTGTGCTCAAAACAGTAGCAGGAACAGATTTATGGGACTCACTGGCTGTGTGCTGAGAGGATCCACAATGAAGCTGAAGTTCTGGTCGGATCGCAAGCAACTTCGTTTCAAGAACTGCAATCTTTTGTAGAAGTTTGTGGCAGTTTGTACAACAGTGAGAATCTGAATTAATCCGATCCAAAGGCATTTTTACAGCCATGTTTTCCCGTCTCCAGAATGTAAGCAGCTGATAGCTGGTAGCGGGAGGATTGTTTAGAGGGTAATTCCCCTCTTGTTAGTAAAGCTGTATTCCAGAAAGTTTGTAGAATCTATGCTGATCTTCAAGCTGTGTTGTTTGAGCACTCAAGTTAAAATTAGGGTATAAAATATAAAAGCAAGAGTGCGAAGAGCGGAGCAGTAGGCAAAAACGTCCGAACAGTAGCAAAGCAGGAAGTAGTCCAGTACAGTATAATGATGGTTTGTTTTGGAGACTATCGAAAAAATATATATATATAGCTTAAAAGGGCTAATAATTTTGAGACCACAGAAATTGTACTACCACTGCTTAAAAGTAGAATAGTGGAATACTTGCACATGAAAGATATAGGATTTATTTGGGATTTGCAAATGTTTGTTCAATAAAATAAAAATGGAAGACATAGGGATCGATCCCACAACCATCATGTTGCCAAGTCAAGTTATCATAGGCATGTCAAGATGAAGATCACATAATATAATTCAGACATCTAATGTGATATTCATACAGTGTAAAAAATTTGACCTCAAATTCACAGTAAATTACTGGCTAATAATTGCATTACTTTTACAATAAAATACTGGATGTAAATTCACAGCAAATCACCGTGAGATAGTTTACTGTAATTTACTGTGATTTTGTTGCATTATATTAAATTACTGTGAAATTACAGCCATATAGTGTAACTTCACAGTAGATAGTAACGTCCATTACTGTGATTTCACAGTATTACTTTGTAGTATTAACTATATTTTACTGTGAAGCAGGCTTTTCTTGGCTATTCATTTTGACATTATCCTGAATTTTAAATTATTTTGGGTGTTTAAAAGGGTTTGGTTTTATGAATCAATTACTTTTGTTCCAGTTTAATAAGTTTTTGGCTAACCACCAAGTTATGTTTATTAAAAATTATTTTGTAGTTCCAGGTTAACCTTATAAAATTAAATAAAGGTGCAGTGCACCCAAAAATGAAAATTTACTGACATTCATGTCATTTTAAAACATGAGTATTTTCTTTCAAGTTATTTTTGAAGATGTAACCAAATTGTTTTTGGGGCTTCAATAACATTCTGTTATTTCTAAATATCAAAAAAGTAATACAAGCATAAAGTGTATTTGTATTTATATCTATGTTGAATGAAAAAAACTTGAAGTCCTTTAGAGGATATAGCCCTTTTTACAGTAATTTGCTGTAATCATGATTCTTGCCTTAATTTTACAATAAAATTATGAATACAACATATTACTGTGAGTTTTTACAGTTAAATCCTATAAAATGATACTAATGTAATTTACTGTGAAAATTACAGTAACATGTTGTGAATATCAGGGCATTTTTATAGTGCAGATTTTATAAATAAAGTATTCATCAGTATTCAAAGTAGCCAGTTGTTGTTGTTGTAGTTTTCTTTTTTTTATTCCAACTATTTCTAGTTCATAACTATTTTACATATTTGTGAAAAGGTGGCAACATTTTTGTATAGAAGCATATGTGTTTTTGTACAGACCCCAAATCTCACTCCTAAACCTAACCCTCATTGAGGGATGATGAGCAATCCTTACTAAAATGTACCAATGAGATCATACAAACTTAAAATATCTCCTAAATCAAAAAGTTGTGAATTGCAGTGAGATTGTGTTGGAAATGCAGTTTTTCTTACTGCGGAGCCAAATGGTGACTAGCTCCTCCCCTTTTGATGTAGTGGGTGGAGCTTAGCCTGGCTCAAATCCTCCTCCCTTTAGACTTTATTTCAAACATGTAAAAATAGGTAAACTAGCAAATCCATTTTAACATACAAATGTCCATAAAGGAGTAAGAAGAAGCATAAGCTTATTTAGTCCTACCCCTTCTCCACTCTACATTAATAAGTAATTATAAATAATAATCTGTAAGAATAATCATCATAATAACTCCATGATTCTGGCACCTCATGGTACACCTTTTTCACTTTTACGTGTGACAGTGAAGTTTATTTATGAACTAATTTCAAGAGGATCACATGCTTATAATTGACCACGGCTAGTCCAGCATTAGCCATCACATGATTTACAGATCAGATGAATCTAAACTCACTATTAAATACCAAAATTTCTTACCTTAGTTATATTTGTCTTGTAGAATCCCCCCATCCACCCCTACTTCTCCCAGTCTTTCCTAGATTAATCCAGGACACAGTGACTCAGTGGTTAGCACTGTTGCCTCACAGCAAGAACTTCACTGGTTTAAGTTCCGGCTGCACGGAGTGGGACTTATTTTCAGCCCTGGAGTTTCAACCCAGACTGGCCCACCTTAGTTCACGACGGATTCCAATTCAGTTTCTAATTTCACTATCATGTCTTTTTCAAGAAAACTGCTGCTTTAGAAATTCAAATGTTCAAAAACCGTAACAGTATTATATGTCTTTACAAAAAAATGAAAAAAAATTCATAATAATTTTACAGGTGAGACTCGAACATGGGTCCACGGCGTTGAAACAACGTGCTTACCACTAGACCACAATGGCGCTTTAACTGTGGCAATAAAAAATAAGTAATGACTTGTGACCCTTAAGACAGCACTACTTTCTTTTAATGGCTCAATCTTTTTCTCCCCTTTTTAGATTTCTGATCAAGTTATTTCAGATTTATTAATGTAGTGAATCATTTGATTTTCATTGAGCAGGTGTAATATTCCTTAATATCAATTTTATTATCACTAAGGTGCCGCTGTTTGGGGTCGATAGTTACATTACATCATCATCATTAACGTTAGTTAACCTGCAGGCTGCATTTTGCTCATGGGGCTGCGAGAAAATAAATAAATAAAAAGAGCATCACTGCGGCAAAATAATGAATAAAAAACAGAAAGCTATAGTCAAATAAACAAATAGATGAAAAAGTGTGACTGCTGAGAGTGCAAGCAGCTAGGGGGACCGGCCCTCGCGGCCAAAAAACAGACCGGCCCACCGGGAATTCTCCCGGTCCTCCCGATTAGCCAATCCAGGCCTGGCTGCACCAGATGGCATTTACATGTTCTCCCCATGCTCATGTGGGTTTCCAGCTTGATCTCAAGTGAAAGCGTAAGTATTTTACGTTTTGTCAGTTTAGTGGCTAATTCGTACGAATTCGTATGAGTTCAATCGTACAAAAATGTACAATTTTAAAAAGGAGGCATGGCACCTAACCCCACCCCTAACATATGGACATGTGCTATAGGTGAATTGAAAAAACCAAAGTTGCACCATATATGAGCATTTAGTACTAAGCTTCAATGCACAAACTCAGGTCAAAGAACAGGCAAAAAGATTGAATTCAGAGGAGATGTTGAGAACCACCTGAGCTCAGACTTACCTCTTGTCCTACAAAATGGGAGAGAGCCCCAGGCTCAGAGAACTTCTGAGCTCAGGGCTCTTTCTCGGGACAGCATTCCAAACACACTTAATTATCAGTCATCAGCTGAGTGTGAACTCTGCTTATAGTAATTAAAAGTAAATAAATAAATAAAATCGTTTCAGATATGTAAAATTTGTTAAATGTTTTTTTCAGATGGATAAAATGATTATAATTTAGTGAAAATAATAGAGGGGGTGGCATGGTGGCTCAGTGGTTAGCAATGTGGCCTCACAGCAAGGTGTCTGATTCGAATCTCGGCTGGACCCGTTGGTAGTTATTAGCCCCCTGTTTATCTTTTTACAATAAGAAAGTAGTTATTTTTATTTTATTTTATTTTTTTTTTTTTTACAGTGATTTGTTATGTTTATATCTGACACTGGACATCATTTTAATAAAATAGAAATCAATATAAATTTAAAAAAAACTAATTCTATACTTTTTTAACCATCAAATGTTTTGGGAGCAGAGATCAAAGTCCTATATTGCAATTTCAAAGACTGAAATAAATTAGGAAACAAAAAACATTGTGAATCACAAGCTCTGAATATTTTTTACAGACTAGATTCATTAGCAAAGATGTGAATGCTTTGGTATTAATAAAGAGATGTGGAGAGTATCAGTGTCAAAATAAATTCATTTGTAAATCTACCAGTTCACTAAACAACAAAACAGTTCAGAAACTGGGATAGATATTTCATTACATGTTGTCTAGTTATATTGGTAGCTTATCTGCACAATCAGTCCTCAAAGACATCCTTTTTAAAAGGAACGTACACAAACACAAATGAATCGCTGATTTTGACTGTTATAGAATTGTGGGTGACATGAACCCCTTTTTTTAGAGTCTCAACCAATGGTATTTATTCGAGGTAAGTGTGGTTAGTACAGCACGTATATAAGGACCTCCTACACTGCAATAAGACTCTTTGCTCTCTGATAGATTTTAAAGACAGCCCAAAAAATTGTTATACTATATCTACAATGATTCTCTGGGCATTTGTTACTGTTCTTTGTGTTGCGCGTAAGTACCATTGTGTGTTTCATGCTTATTTGCTTTTAAATATAATTTTGGAAATATTTATTTTAAAGCATTGCTGTGATTTATTTAGTTTTAAAGATCTTTGTTATTCTGATCACATTTAGTAGATAAAGTAAACATATTATATTATTATTTTCTATAAAGCTCATAAAGAAGTATAATGATGTTTGTAATTATTTATAATCAAGCATAACAATTTTATAAATGCATCTGTAAGACACTACCTGTATTATATTATGACAGATATAGCTACTTTTATGAAACTTATGCTTATACTATATGTTATCCTTATGATACTGTGATGCATTTCATTTTTCAATCTACATATTACATATAAACACATTAAATACTGATTTACTAGTATTATTTAGTCTGTCATAATTATATTTATAAAGATGCCGTCTGCAATGTTAAAACTGTGTTCTGTTGATTCATTAGTAATAGTAAATTAATTTTTACTGTAGTAAAAAAGTTTTGAACACTAATATAAATGAACACTATAACCCTCTTTGTAGAAAGTGTTACTATATTTAATACTAGTATACATGACAAAAATCATTAGAATATTAAAGAAAGGTCATCTTCCATGAAAACATTTAGGTTACTACCATAAATACATCAAAAAATCATTTGTTTAACTCTAAAGGTTATTTTCCTCAGTATTTAGATTAATTTGAACCATCCGATTGCAGATTTTCAATAGTATCTTGAATAAATACCGTTCTATTCTATATTGCACTATTTATTTAATAATGTTGAATATCCAAGCTGCTTTTTGGCATTTTAATTTTTCCCAGGTGCTGCACATTCTCGTATTGATCAGCCAGATAAAGTATTGGCTGTGGAGCTTGGCAGCACTGTGACTCTGCGGTGTATTTCATGGAAAGAAAACATTTTTTGGTACAAGCAAGTTGCTGGTCAACAACCTCGAGTCATATCAGCATTTCAGAAACTGATGGAGCCCATATTTTACAAGGAATTTAAAAATGAACGTTTCTGGGGCATCCGACTGAGGAGCAGCACCAATCTGACAATCTCCGACATCATTCAGTCTGATGAAGCAGTGTACTATTGTGCATCAAGAGCATTTTATATTGAGTTTGGAAGTGGAACACATCTGAAAATTAAAGGTAACATTTATTTTTAAATCAGCACAATAATTGTCAAAAACAATGTATGCATTATAATGATTTCATTATGTTACATATTTTAGCCTATTTGTAGTTAGCATGTATAACAAATGAAAATTATATTTTCTGACCCTGGGAATAGCCAAAAATAAAATGTATGAGTCAAAATGATCACTTTCTTTTATGCCAAAATCATTAGAATATTAAAGAAAGGTCATCTTCCATTAAGACATTTAGTAAATTTACTACCATAAATACATCAAAATATCATTTGTTCAACTCTTAAGGTGATTTTCTCACTCTTTAGATTTTCAAGTTATTTCACAGCTAAATATGTTTCCATTCTAACAAACCATGTTAATGTGATGTGTAAGTCTCAATGTCTAAAAATTGACATTTATTGCTGCTTTTGTGATCCAGGATGACGTTTATGAATTTAATTTATGCATTTTTACATTTATGTTTACGTTTATCCCAGGTCATCAAGCTGCAGCATTTGAGACATCGAATTTCAACAAAACGTGTCAACAAAAATGCAATAAAAACAGCACAACAGAAAAATGTAATTATTTGTAGATCAATTTCTCTCATTTTGTGACTAAAATGAATCTTCTACAAGTTCGTGTATGTATTCTCAGAAACATTAATGTCCATTTATTTCAGCAAATGTTTCAGATGAAAGGCTCTATCCAGCGGTGCTTGGTTTGGCGTGTGCTTTGGGACTTTGTGGAGGTCTAGTTTTTGCTTTCATTGCGTTCATATTTAGCAGAGGTTTAGACTTTTTTTTTTCTGCATCTTTTCACACAGTGCGAAGCTCTAGACAAGACAATCAAATTAGAGAGCAATGGAATGCTCAGGTAAGATAATTTGTTGTCTATTAAAGAAAAAATAATATTTTTTAGTAATGCTTTAATGAATTCGTTTGTAGCATTAGACACTGATACTACTGTAGACACTGTTTAATCTGTTGTTTTGTTCTGCTTTGAAAAAATAAATTGCCTTTAAAATAGACAATAAATCATCACCAGGAGCACAATATTGTTTCGTTTACATTACATTTTCATTTTTTTTTTATCCTAAGTGACTTGCGAAATTAGAACGAAGTAATCAGCGCAACAAAAGAGAATGTAAATAATATTATAATATGACGATTTCCAGTTGCTTTTATAAATTTAGAGAATTAATAAGTGTAGCGTATTTCTATGCCAGTATTAATTATTAGTGCTGTGTTTACAAATGTGATTTTAAATGTATTAATTTGATAAATGTGGCACTTTTTTTATTCAGGACCCTGATGATGAAAATGTGACATATGTAGCCTATACATGTGATTCACTCAGAAAAACATTCAATCTGGAGGAAAATCTCAGCAGAGAGTGCATTTGAATATACTTTTTTTTTGTATGCAAAAAAAATAAATAAATGGTGAATTGAAAAAAAATGTTCATTAATTTACCATGTACTTTATTTTGAATTTGTAATTGGCAAATTTATTGTAAATAATTGTAAAGAATTATTGTAAAGAATACAGTGTCTGTATATCTGTATTTTCTGTAATTATCTTGTAATTTTCAAGCATGACAACATTACAGCTTTCACCCACAAATTAGAATGTCATTTTTATTGTCAATTTGATTGTGTTTTCATAGTGGAAAATGAGACAGTTATTTGTTTATTTATTTTACCTTAGATGGATTTTTAAAAATTTAAAACTGCTTTTATTCTAGCCGAAATAAAATAAATAAAACTTTCTACAGGAAAATAATATTATCAGACACACTGAAAATTTCCTTGTTCTGTTAAACATCATATGGGACACCAATATTTCCTGTTAATTTCTCAAAGATTATATGCTGCTATTAATAAGTGTCAATAATTCTCTAAAGCAATACACCAACAAATTATTTTGTTCACTTAGATTTGTTTGTGCTGATCAAGCGAAACTCAAAAATGTTACTTTTACAATTTTAATCAGTACTCTTCCTTAGACTCTGATGTAGCTGTGAACTGGAATTTTTTTCTGCACTATTAGTGCAACACTATGATGAAGGTGTTGTTATTGTGCAACATATGTTTTAATGTGCTCTCGTGAGTGTCCGGAAATGGAACCAAATCTAGTAAGTGTGTACTGCTCAGCTTTCATGGGCTGCTGATACAGTGGGTTGTAGTATCTGAGAGTAAATAACTGAGATTTACTTCAAGCATTTCTGCATAATTCTCAGGTCTGAGTCGATTTATTTATTGATTCATTCACTGATAAATCTGTTTATGTCTCACATTTTGTAGAAGTATCTATTTTTTTGTCGTTGTGACTTCCTGTTCATGAGTTATAGTTTTTTACTATTATTATTTGAGTATATTACATGCTATTCTAGCAATTAAGTCTGTTTTCATCCCATTTTCCAAATCCAAAAATTAACACATTTTGGTCACACTTTGTAAGTGTAAGTGCACTTAATTTCTATGTACTTACATTTAAATTATTAGTTTAGTACAATGCACTTGTTATGTCCAGAAATTAGTATTTTCTGTATTTTGTTATTCATGTTTTTATTTTTCTCTGTTTATTTGCAATAAAGTAATTTTATGAACATTTTTAATATTTTAAACTGTATATTATGTACTGTATATTATGGTACAAAAACTTTGCCAGTACATTTTTTGTTATTTTACAGATGTTGTGTTATTATTTGGGTATTGATATTAATATTGATATTTTATCTTCTCCTACGGCACCAAATAATGTAGAGATAATTTATTTGGTTAGACTCCAATATTAAATTAGAGTAGTTGATCCCCAACCCTCAACTTAACCAGTAAAAGTATTTATTGTGTTGATAATACAACAAAAGACTCTACAAGTCAGATGATCTCACTATGCTTCAAATTTGGCCAGATATTAAACACCTTCAAAATTCATTCATTCATTTTCTTTTTGGCTTAGTCCTTTTATTAATCCGGGGTTGCCACAGCGGAATGAACCGCCAACTTATCCAGCATATGTTTCACGCAGCGGATGCTCTTCCAGCTGCAACCCGCCTCTGGGAAACATCCACACACACTTATTCACACTCATACACTATGGACAATTTTGCCTACCCAATTCACCTGTACCACATGTCTTTGCACTGTGGGGGAAACTGGAGCACCCAGAAAAAACCTGATATATATATATCAGGAAACCACACTCAGTATTGAATATATATGAATATATATATATATACATATACATATATTATATATATATATATATATATATATATATATATATATATATATATATATATACATACATTGATATATATATACATATATATATATATATATATACTGTATACATATACCTCCTACAGTGTGCGTGATTGGTTCGGGCCGGGGCACGTCCGGCCAAGCTTCTCCGTCCGGCTGATGTCACTTAATTTGCGACAAACGGGGGAAGGTGATGTGACACTCTCCACAAGTAGCGAGCAAAACAGACAGCAAAATGGGAAAATGTTCGTGTACTCCATGTTGGAGAAAGACGATTTTAAACAGTTCCTGAAGCCTGTTGCTAAAAAAACAACAGCGTAATTTATTCTTTCAAGCTTTGTTTCTTCCGAGCTTATCTGAGATCTGCTGTATGGTTGTGCTCCATTGATTTATTTAACTACACCTGTTTATTAACAACTGTTTATTAAGTTAAAGGTTTGATACTGATTAGAATTTGAAGTGGCGATGAGGTCTTAAAATATTCTGATAAGGTCTTTCAAGAGTCTTAAAAAGATATTGAAATTACCTTCCTGCACATACCCTGTGTAAACCTTTGCATGAAAAAAGTTGAATAATTTAAGCTATATTTTTGTCTAGTAAATTAAAAGTAAACATCTTTTATCTACAATGTTACTAAAAACACATGTACTTCAACATATATGACAGCAGTTTCTAGGTCAAAATAATGCCACGGGACACAACTTTTGTTCAATACTGTATCTCTGTAATCGAATACATTTATTTCTATCTTTATATGGAGAACTTTTCTGGTGGGTTAATCTTTATCTGTCAGTAATAATGTGTTTTATTTAAAAGCAATAACTGATTTGAACAATAAATAAATAATGTTATCACAGTTGTGTAAATTCAGATATATCTTATGAGTACACACAAACAAAATTAGATGCATTAATGGAACTTGCACAATATTAGACTCCGCTAGTAAATGAATCACAATATTGAGTGTACTGTACAGAGCAGATGTGCTGAAGGTTGATTTTATTGTCTTGCAGGTTCAGCTGTACTCAGGTCAGTCACACTGGAGTAATTGACCTGGCTGTAAAAACCGTCTTGAGGAGTTTCTGCCTTTCTGTGCACTCTTCTGTGTTTTCTTTCTATGACATTCAGTGCAGCATAATTCAACTCCCCTGTATCCTGCTCCTACAAGAGTAACATTGTGGAAAGATGCAAAGTTTTAAATGTATTCTGTTTTTTTAACAGTCAGGCGCATTATCTACACACACACACACACACACACACACACACACACACACACACACACACACACACACACATTTTGTATCATGAACTACTATGCACTAGCATTTAAATGAGTAATTTCCTACTGTACAATGCACAATGTACACTTTAAATAATGATACGACAAAGAGTCAAGACTACAAATGTTTTATTACTTACTTTTACTTCTTTTTATTTATTATTTTGTTACTTTAACTTAATTAGGTTTCAACTACATTTCTTAGGCTATGCAAGAATTTTTAGCCAGTTTGATTGATCTGAACTAATAAGTGATTTGAACTAGAAAAAAAAATGAAGGCAGCAAGATTTTTACTGTACTAACTATACAATGAAACTTGAAACAACAAAAGTGTTTAACAATACATGAACAAAAAAGACAATGTGAGATCTTAAAAACTTGTTTAATTTAAGCTTCATTTTAATTTTAATTTCAGACCCATTTATGAAATAATAATAGTTAAATAAATTGCTTTGCACTTTGATTTACAGAAGACCTCTGCAAAAACGTCATTCAGTGTAATAGTTCAACAAAAGAAAATATTCTGGCATGTTTAGACTAAAAATTATATTTAACAGGTTTTATTATCTTTCAAACCACCAAATTATCCACTTATCAGCAAGAAGATTTATTAACACTATAACAAAATGTGGTAAAATAAATAACATTTCTATATATTGAGTATGTACAGATCAGAATAAGCATGTCGTTAAAGTTTTACATAAATCTGTCATGCTGAATGACAGCAGAACAATATTTCTTCCATATTTGGAGATTTGTAATAATTTAATTATAAATCATATTAATCTTATAAATTTATAAGTTAATGAAAACACTTGTATTTGGTATGTTCTCTGTGTATAGGAAATATCCTTAATATTACATGTATTATTTAAAATTAAATTCTTGGAATTTAAATAGCATTTTAATTTTAGTCGTAATTTTTAATGTATGGAAAACAAAAATAATAATAATAATAATATGTCTATGAAATACATGCAATACTTGAATTAAAATTAATTTATGATGCTTACCTGATTTGAGGGATGTCGCCTTTCACTGTTGTATAGCCCTTTTTTAGTTGAAAAACAATCGATCAAGAAATCAATCAATAAATGATTAAAACTGTCATTTCCACGTGGTAATGATTAAATAAAAGGTTAGATCATACATATTTTAAATGAATAATTCAATTCATGTTTATTTATTTAGAGCTTAAATAATGTAGATTGTGTCAAAGCAGCTTAAAATAGAAGTTCTAATTTTGCATTTAATTATATTTGATTTAAATCAAGCCCCAAACACTCACCTTCATCGTTGTAATGTCTTTCCTTTATATGCCTTGATATAATCTGTGCAATGATCACAACCACACAAAGACCCAACAACACACCCAGGATGATCAGCAGATGATCCACCGGCTCTACTGTAGAACAGAATGTTAAAATGCATAATTAATGAACAATTATTGTTTAGATTAAACATTTAAAAATACATAAATTAAATTGCTATAGGGCAAAATCCTTCTTTGGTTCCGCTGGATTTATTTGAATTGTTCAGTATAGGTTTGTGTGAAATGTTACTATGTAATAAAATGTAATACACTTTGCATTAATGCATTCTATAAAAAAATAAGTGATGATTTATTCCAATTTCAAATAAGTTTTTTTTTGTTTTTTTTTTTACTGAAAATAAATAAGTTGGTCAGAATAACAATGCTTTTTTGTGATTGAAAATTTGCGTTGTTTCCTCTAAATATGAACACTTCTAAACACTGTTTTGAAAATAAACATGGCCCCTTTTTAATACAATCAATTACGCCCTTTTTCTTTAATTATTATTATTATTTTAAATGTGAAAGAAAGATTATGCTAATTACAAAATAAAATAAATAAAATGCATCTTATATTGGTAACACTTTATTTTGGTGGTCC